TGTGTTTAGGCAGCTTGTTTTTAATTACCTTTTACTCAGGCATCACTCTCTTTTCACAAATTAAAGAGAAGCCAATTGCTACCCATGTCACTCCCACTGAAGTGGCAGAATAGCTCTTGAAGATGAAGAGTGATGATAATCACTCTGCTCTTGAAGACTCTCTGCACTTTTCGGCACAGAAAAGATAAAAAATGAAAAGCTTGAGGAGATGTATATCTAGTATGTTTATATATGTTACGCTTTTTATTACATACAAATAAAACAAAAAAAGTAGATTTTTTATAAAATTTAAGAAGAATATGTATTTAGGATATAAGATGATAGTGAGTTTCATTATAATAGTATGGTTTTTCAAAAGACATCTAGAGAATTCAAACTTGCTTATTCAATTTTATAGAATTGTGAAACAAAGAAAGAGAAAAAAGAACCATCAACCTTTTGTTAAAGAATTAAAATAAATTTGGGGGATTTGAACCAATAATCTCACTCTGATACCATCTTCTCTGATACCACTTGTAGGATAAATATAATTAATTAGAGTTTGTGATGATTATCTTGTTCGGTCTTCTTTCATTATCATAATAAAAAAATATTTGCTATATTTTCATTTTGGTTCTTTGAAGGTGAGAGATATTTGAAGATCAAAATAAATAATTTTCTTATGACATAATCTAATATGCAATCAAACACAACTAAAATCCACTAAAAGCCTAATGACAATGAGAGTAATGATTATCACAATACTAATAATATGTTTGATGATGAAGAGATGAGTTTAAGGCCTTAGGCTTATTAAGCCCAATAACCTTGTATAAATACTTTCATCCTAAATTACTTTCAAATGCATCAAATACTGAAACTACCACAAAGTTAATCTATTTGAAAGTAAGAACAGCTAAAATAAATTATACCAAATTTCTTCAAACTTTCTGATTGCGACATAGTAGCATTATTGTCAATTTTTTGCCTCTTAATTTTTTTACTGGCATAGCTGCACAAACAAATAAGATTAAACCCATAAACAAAAGAAAATTCAAAAAATCAAAATCAAAATCAAAATCCCCACACTTAAAATGATTGACTCTTCAATTTAGAAATATCTTTTGGAGTCATAATGGTAAAAATAATAATAAAATAAAAATAAAAATAAAAATCAAGATTTAATGATTAAATATGAGGTAATATTATGAGTCATAATTGAAGAAAATTAAAAAGTAAAAATTAAAAAAAATTGAGAAAACCTAAGTGGTGCCTATGAATAGGATAGTAAGGATTGAAAGGAGACAAACAAGAATTTTTGAGTGAAAAGAGGCAAATGAGAAGGTAGGGAAATAATTCATGTTATGATATCATATTAATTATTAAAAGACTTTCCTATAGGGTGGGGGAGTGAGACTTTTATTCAAGATAGCCATGACATACCTGGAGGCTTGTATAAATTTAAAGTATATTGTTTATTGTCCATAACCAGATGGCCTTTATTCATTTATATGGGATGTGGACATTGCCTTATTTTATTTTTCATTTATTTATTTTTTATCTTGCCTTGATACTTGATAGGTAGCTTTTTCTTCTTTCTATTATTTTTTTGATTTTTTTCTTCATTTTGTTTACTCTTCATCATATCTTAAGATCATCTTGTGTTGTGTCATGAACATGCTAGTGTCTTGTGTATCATGTTTTTATCTCTTAGAATTCTCCTCCTCCTCAATTTTCTTGGTTCACCTTTTGCAAGTAAATAGATTTTGAAAAATAGAAAAGCTTCCTTTTTTAAACAAAATGATTAATAAAGAAAAATTGTTTTTCAAAATGGTTTTAGGTTGTGTGAGGTTTTTAGAACCTCCTCAAGCGAAATATATTCTTCTTCTGTGTGAGATTACTGGAGTCTTCTCATGAAGTTAATCTGAGATGTTTTAAAAAGAAATAAACAAATTTTCAAAATGGTTTTATGTCATGTGAGGTTAACCTTCTCAAGCAAAATTAATTAATTTCCGTGTGAGATTATTGGAATCTTCTTAAGAAGTTTAATCCAAAAGTTTTTCAAAAAGCTTTCTTTTTCTTTAAATAAAGATAAAAGAAATGTTTTTATCAAATATAAAAATGCAAACCCACAAAAATTTTTTAATAAATTAAATAAAAATTTTTTCTAAAAAAACACCAACAAAATGACACCCATTTATACTCCCAAACTACATGGGCTTTGATCACTCTAAAGACTACGTAGGCCCTAGATTTTTATTCCAAGCCAAGTCCAGCTTTGCAAATAAATTTATTTTTTCCCTTTATTTTTGCTCTTATTTTTACAAATAAAATGTTTTCCTTTTCATTGTTCTTTATATTTTTAGGGTAATTAAAATATTGAAAAAAAAGGCAATATTAATTTTAAGTAGTTGACTTAGGGTAATCTTCTCTTGAAAAGGTGTTGCCGGGTGCCTAACACCTTTCTCATACAAAATTGACTTCCAAACCCTATCTGGTTTTTACAGACCATATTTTTTTAAGTTTTCAAAATTACTTTTTTAAAATTTTAGTGACGATTCCTCATTCTTCCCTTTATGAGAAGATTGAGATTCAGGCGTGACAATAATTATATCAATTAACATCTAATTCATAGAATTACAATGAGTTAATCATATCCTAGTAGAAATTTGATAACAATATGCTAACATCTTTATTGCGCTTTGATCAAATAGTCTTACTAGTTATCCAGATTATAACTTGTATTTTTTACATTTGTGTTTCTTGCCAAACTTTAAATTTCTAAATTTGTGTTTATGGTTAAATCTTCCACTTTATATCGAATCTATATTCTCTCATTCTGTAGACAACAAATTACATTGTCTCCACTTGTGTATATAGTTATGAATAGCATAACATACCATCACTAGAAGATGTCTTGAAGGCTAATATGGCGACATTAATTTTAGAATTAGAAATCAAGCTTTCAATACTCTGAAACGATGCCCAATCTTCATTCTTAATGAGGAATGTTTGAAATTAAAAAGCTCTTTAACATATTTAGCTTGGCAACCTCTATCTTGATATTCTTGAGCATGACATCTTTCTTCTCTATATAGAGGAAGAAAACACCGGTGCAAAAATATCTCGAGTCTACAAACTAAAATGATCTTATAACAATAGCAAAACATTGATTTAGAAAAAGACAAATGGCATATGAGAAGGATTTTATTTAGAATTATTAGAAAAATTAGTAAATATCACACTAGCAATAATATTGTCAAATTCTAAGTTATTATATATGATATCATGATTTACAATATAACCATGTAAAAAATAATTATTTTGAACTAAAATTATGTCTGAAACAAACATATTTTTCATATTCATATATCCTAATACCGAATAATCAATTGGGAAAAAAATCAAATAATATATATTTAAAAATACATTTTTCACATCTGTATATGTTTAAAAATAAATCGAAACAAACAAATGCGTATTAAACTTAAAAAACTAAACCGAAATTTGTATTCGGAGCACCAAAACTACATCACATAATTTTAATTTGAAAATCAATTTTCAAATATATACTACTTTTTGGTGACAAAAACCGCATAATTTGTTTATGTGTGAACATGACTTTGAATGAGATAAGTGGAAGAATAGAAATGATGATCATCGCTGGTCCCATGGTCTAGTGGTCAGGACATTGGACTCTGAATCCAGTAACCCGAGTTCAAATCTCGGTGGGACCTTTTTTTTTTTTTTTCCGGCGGTAGAATCTTTATTTTGTTTCAACAATTATCATCAGCCTTATCTAACTGGGTTATTGAACGACCACATAAACTTGCATTGCATCCATTTCCCACTAAACCAAACTGTAATGCTCCTCACTCTTCCTTGCCAATAGTACTCGCGTCTGAAAGAGAATGATATTATTCCAATTCCCTTTTGAATCCAAACCACAATCTGATTCAACAAGCATTCTCTTTCTTCCAATCCAGCATGAAACGCTGCTGTAACAAACACGTAGTGTCCAAATGTTAGTGTAATTTGAAGTGTGGTTCTAATACTTGTGTCTTATAGGTTAAATCTCCCTGTCAATTTTCAGCCTTGCGATGTTCATAAGAAATTCTCACCTTTCTGCTTCTCTCCTACCTTCCCCAATTCAGAAATTTCCAAAGCCTTCTCACTCTCCCCCTTTGAATTCCATTCAATTCCCATCAAACGTTTCTCCCTCCCACTATGAACTGCATCCCAATCTAGAAGAAACCCAGGAGATCCATGCCCACCTGATCAAAACCTGTTTCAATTCCAGTGATCAAATCCCTTTTACTGCACTTCGTAGTTACTCTAGTCCTTTATCGCTTTACAGTTTCCTAATAACCTCTTATATCAAGAACAGTTGCCCCATAGAAGCTGTGAAAATCTATACCCATATGCGTAGAACTGACTCAGAAGTGGACAATTTCCTCATACCATCTGTACTCAAAGCTTGCTGCCTAATTTCTTCGATCTTACTAGGAAAAGAGATACACGGTTTTGTGGTGAAAAATGGATGGGATACGGACGCTTTTGTTTGTAATGCCTTAATCCAGATGTACAGTGAGTGTGGAAGCCTGAAACTTGCACGCCTGTTGTTTGATAAAATGGTGAATAGAGATGTTGTTTCTTGGAGTACAGTGATTAGGAGCTATAGTCGAAGTGGGCTGTATGACGAAGCATTGAGTCTTCTAAGAGAAATGCATGCTAGGGGAATTAAACCTAGTGAGGCTGCAATGATAAACATGACTGATGTCTTCGCAGAATGTGCAGATTTAAAATTGGGTAAAGCCATGCATGCTTATGTGGTGAGGAATCAGAACTATGAGAAATCTGGAGTTCCTCTAACAACTGCTTTAATAGACATGTATGCTAAATGTAATACTATAACTTATGCAAAAAGGCTCTTTGACAGGTTGTCTGAGGCCGGCATAGTTTCGTGGACTGCTATAATTGCAGGATGCATTCATTGCGATCATTTAAATGAAGCTGTCAGACTATTTACCAATATGCTAAAAGAGGGTCTGTTTCCAAATGAGATTACAATGCTGAGTTTTTACAAAGAATGCGGATTCATAGGAGCTCTAGGACTTGGCAAGTGGTTGCATGCATTCACTCTAAGAAACGGGTTTAACATTTCCTTGGTTCTGGCTACTGGTCTGATTGATATGTACGGCAAATGTGGCGATTTCAGAAGCGCAAGATCTGTTTTTGATAGCATTGCTGACAAAGATTTAACAATGTGGACAGCTTTGATTTCAGCTTATGCACAAACCAATTGTATAGACCAAGCTTTTGACGCCTTTGTCCAGATGACTAGTTGTGGAATAAGACCAAATGAAGTGACCATGTCTAATCTCCTTTTGCTATGTGCAAAAGCTGGAGCCCTTGAAATGGGCAAGTGGGTTCATGCTTATATGGACAAGCAAGAAATTAAAGTAGATAGGATTCTAGAAACTTCTTTGGTGGACATGTATGCTAAGTGTGGAGACGTAGATGCAGCTTATCAGCTGTTTACTAAAACCACTGACAGGGACATGCCAATGTGGAACACCATGATATCAGGTTTCGCGATGCACGGTCATGGAAAGGAAGCATTAGAACTCTTGACAGAAATGGAAAGACTAGGAGTCATCCCCAGTGACACCACATTTGTTGGAGTTCTTCATGCGTGTAGCCATGCTGGACTAGTAATGGAAGGGAAGAAACTCTTTCAGAAAATGGTCCATGAATACAATTTAGTTCCAAAGGTCCAGCACTATGGCTGTATGGTAGACCTTCTTGGTCGAGCTGGATTACTTGATGAGGCTAAGGAACTAATTAACAGCATGCCCATGAGGCCAAACATGGTTGTGTTAGGATCTCTACTTGCTGCATGTAAAGTCCACAAAAATCTCAAAATTGGGGAATGGGCTGCAAAACAGTTTCTGTCATTAGAACCTGATAAGTGTGGTTATAATGTTCTGATGTCGAACATATACGCTGCAGAAAAAAGATGGGATGATGTTGCTGGTATAAGGAGAGCTATGAAGGACGTGGGCCTTAGGAAAGAACCAGGTACCACATCCATTGAAGTGAATGGCTCAGTTCATGACTTTGTAATGGGAGATAAGGCACACCCGGAAGCTGAGAAAATTTATGAAATGATAGCTGAGATGAGAGAAAAGCTAGAAAATGCTGGATACACACCAGATACGTCTTCTGTGCTGCAGGACATAGATGGGGAAGAGAAAGAAACGGCTTTAAATTATCATAGTGAAAAGTTGGCTATGGCATTTGGTCTTATAAGCACAGCTCCCCGCACTCCAATACGAATAGTGAAGAACCTTCGAATCTGTAATGATTGTCATACCGCAACGAAGTTGTTGTCCAAGATTTATGGGAGGGTGATAGTCGTAAGGGATCGAAATCGTTTCCATCACTTCAAAGAAGGATCTTGTTCTTGTATGGATTATTGGTAGGAACAATAATAATAAGACAAGGTACATCAGAAATTTTCTGCATGCAGCACAAATCGTTTGAACATATAAATTGAGTATAGTCCATTTTTCTAACAGAGATGATCACCACTCGTCATCTTTGAAGTGAGCTTTTAATAATTTGTTTACAACTTTGTAGTTCCATCACTAATTCTATAGTAAGTTAATTTGATATATTGGACAGTCTTTCGACTTTATACAAAGTTTTATTTTAGAGTCTCAACTTTAAAAGTATATTTTTAATATTTTAATTCTCACATTGTTAACAAAAAAAATGATAATATTGAGATATCGGATATTGATAAAACATTTTCATATATCTATACATTAAGTTTAATTTTCAAAACAAAAACAACTATGATTGTCAGAAAAAAAAATCATTTAAAACTAATAATTATATGATTAAAGAACTAAAACTATGCTTTTTAAAACTAAGGAACAAAACTGAGACCTTTTAAAAAGATAAAGGAGTAAATATATATCTTAAAGTTAAAGAAGTTAAAAAAAAAAAATCATGCCTTTTAAAGAAGACATAATCTAAGACTAACATTTTTAAGATGGGATTATGAGCCCATAGTGGCGCAATTATGTAATAGGAAACAAAATCTACAAGTTTATTATTATGTTTTATATAGAGATATAGAATTAATTGAATTTTATTATTAAATTTCACAAGATATGTTAAACTTTGTTAATGTAATTAATAATATACTACCTCCGATCCTAATTATAAGAGTCAGTTGATTAATTTGAAAAGATTAAGGAAGTAAGTTGAGTTAGTAATTTATCCTAAATAGGTGTTGTCTTTCCTAAAATATCCTTATTAATCAAGTATATTTACTAGAACTATTATTGTTAGAAGGGCTACTTTGGAAAAAAATGTATAAATATGAGAGACAAAGTGGATTGGGGTCTTATATTTAGGACCAAAATAAAAGTCAAACAGGATCTTTCATTAAGGACCGGAGGTAGTATTATCTTGCTACTATGATCATGAATGGGTAATTCATGATTAAAAAATTTTAAAAATATAGAGAGTAGAAAAAAAATTAACTCACATTTATGAAAAAATTTAATATTTAATAATTAGAACTAAATTAAAAACAATTTTTTTGCCAACAAATTAAAAACAATTTAAACTATGAGAACATAATTACATATTTTTGAACTGGAATTACATTAAAAATTGAATGGAATTACGGAGATAAAGATAGTTTTAAAATAAATAATTTTCCGAAAATTTAAAGTTTCTTATAATTTGTAATTTCAATCTGATTTCTTAAATTTATTGCTTGCCAAAATAATGTTTGACTTGCCTGTAGCTTATAGGTTTTAAATTGCCGATCTTTGTCAAACAAATTAGCAGATAAGAAGGATACCAGATAAATGTTGGCGGATACATCGCTTAAATTATAAGCTAAAAGAGTTATTTCGCTTGAAGCAAAATTAATGCAACAGGCTAAAACAATGAAGAAACTCTGGCAGCAAGACAATGATTAAACGAGATAAAAGGAAAAGAATTTATATAAATACGATGCGTCAAACAGCACAACTCCGTCAAAACCCAAACTGGTGAAGCAAGATAGCAAGTATGAAGAGTCACAAACGTGCTTTATCTCTTGGGAACAAGAATTAAAACCAAAGGTCACAATCAAATCAAAATCCTTAAATCAATACATAAATCGGTATACTGTTGGTTGAAAAGAACAAGAAATTTCAGCTGGCTACTCAACTAACAGAATGAATAAATTCTGCAGATCGAATATATGTCAACATCAATGAATTAATTACAAATAGGAATGCTTTATGATTCTCTGCAGAACAAACGGAAGGTGGGCTTCAGTTTTGAGGATGCTTTATGATTCTCTGCAGAACCACAGTCCTTGCCATTCTAATGTCACGACTGCAAGTATCAGCTTGGACTCCCAAGTCTTCAACATTCTTCATAAAAACTCCCAGCTTCTTCTTGATCTCCTCTATTGCTTCCTTCACAGCTTCTACTTCAATGGCAAACTCTGCATTCTGAATTAGGGACTTAATTTCGATCTCCAACCGATCAATCAGTAGCCGGATATTATCCAGATCCTTTATGGCAACAAAGGTACCAGCTTGCATTGAGCTTAGCAATTCTTTCTGACATTTCAATACATTTTCATAGTTCTTCCACAGTGAGTCTATCCATTTTCCCATTGATCCGATTGGAATGGCAGCGGCAGCAGCTAGAGCAGCAGCAACATGTGGAGCAGCAATGGCTGCAGCTACAACTGAGCAGATCAAAACAGCAGCAAATGTGGCCACAAATATTGAACCAGTGACCTTCCTCCAAGTATGTACGTGTTTGAACTTCTTATCAAGCTTTTGTTTTCGTATTTGCAACTTCTCAAGCATAACTATCTGTTGCTTATAAACAGACTGAAAGATCTGGTAGAACTCTTCAGTGAAAGGATCGCCAGCTGCCTTGAAAGTCTTCAGCTCCTGCAATGTCCTCTCATAACAGTTCCCAGGCAACTTGGTCTCCTCCTCGAACTGTTGAAGGGCCACGAGAATAAGCAATTGGCTGTCCCGAGCTCTCTGGAGGCACTTCTCTAATGCAGTACAGAAATCCAAAGTTTGCAAGCTATTCTCAAAGTATTCCTCAACCAGCTCAAAGAGTTCCTGGCTTTTCCATATATCTTTCTTGCAGTTCAATATCACCTTCACCACTTCCTGATTCATCTCCAAAAGGCATTCTGTGATTTGTTTAAGAGAATCGAAGGAAAGGGATCGGAGTTCCACACCAACAGCTAGAGTATTTATAACATGATTTGTTCTAGCATGCAGGGTAGCGTCAAATGACTGCAAATCAGCATCTAGCTCGCAGACAGCTTCGTAAGAGCTCAATTCAGTTGCGTATTGCATATCAGTAGGGGGATCAATAATAACAGACGACGATTCAGGCATCTTCTTGCTGATATAGCTTCCCATTGCTTCGATAAATTCAAATCTAATTAAAGAAAGAGAAGAATCAGAATCAATTCAGGTTTCAGAACCCCTTTATCAGATAAAGCAAAACTCAATTTCTAAGTTCAGCTCTCGATAATAATAAATCTGACGATAGGAGTCTTAAACCAGCAAGCACGAGGATATGAACAGCCTATTTGAACATACCAATTAATGCTATTACGACAATGAAATCATCAAAGACGGACGCAAGAAATATCGATAATGAAATGAACCAACTAAAGCAATCAGATCCAGGGAGAGATCCTTTAAAAGCTCGAACCTCTCGGAAGTGATTAACGAAGAAAAAGATTATACTCCGGGATGATGACAGAGAAAATCGTTGAAGCTGATCGATGGGCTTTCTGTTTCTGAAATAAGGAAAGTAATATAAAGCAGGATGAAGAGCTTGAAGGGCAAGATTAACCAGCAAAAATCTTCGAGGTTAGATACAGAACTGATAAGGGCCAAGAAATGTGACGGGGTTTAGATTATAGAGTCGCTTGCACGCTTCAGAAAACAAAATGATGGTTTTGGGAATGAAAAGGCAAACGCGGGAAGGAATGTGCCTTCTCTCTCTAGGATTATCCCTCTCTTAAAAGTGTTTCAACGCGCAAAGCAACGATTTCCCCAGAAGGAAGAAGAAAAGATGGTGAGCTCAAGAAGCACAAGTTTCTTCAGCTCAGACCGGAAATTACGCAGGAAAATGCACAATATTTCGGCGCAGAAAACAACAATCCGAAGATTCTGATATAAAGGTAACCAACGTTAATGTATGTATTTTATAGAAGAAATCTCAGACGAGCCAATTAAAGTACAATTAATTAAATGATTAATCACTATCCAACTTTAATCTACGAGTCAAATGATAATAAATTCCCAAACAAGCCATATCATCCAGAAAACAAGAAGATTCATACTTGGATTGAGCGGCAAGGATTGAGGAATAAGTTAGTGAGTGATCTTATTTACAATGTGACAACACGATCAAAACAGTGTCGGCTGCGGAATCAAACACCTTGAAGTTAGTTAGAACTTAGAAATTGCTCAGAAGCAGTAGAACGAGAAAGAGATGAAGACATGGAGTCGACTTTGGCGCACATTTATGAATATGATCCATCTCCAGCTGATTACTTAATAAGTAAGTACTTGCAAAATGGGAAAATCACCCTGAACGCCATAAGTAGAAACATATTTACACTTGTAGCCCTGCATTAATGAAATTATCTTAAGTGACCCTGATCCTTAGTTTTTTTAAAAGGAAAATATCTCTAAAGAAAACAAAATGGTACATGACTCCCAATTATGGATCATAATTATTGACGATGTATTCATAATTAAATTCAACGTATACGATGTAATTGCAATTATAATTATGAAATTTTAGTTATAAATTATATGCAATTATTTATTTACAAATTATGGAGGTCTAAAATAATTGCACTGAAAAAACTAGAATTTAGCTATAAATTATGTGTGATTCACTAATAAATCATGAAATGAACAACAACAATAAATCATTGAGAACACTAGTTTATTATACTACCTTTAGTTTTTAATATAAGGGTTAGTTGACTAATTTAAATAAATTAAAAAGATTAATTAAGTTAATTGTTTGTAATAAATATGTGTTGTTTTTACTAAAATACCCTTACTGATCATGTGTATTAGCTAAAATTACCATTTGATGAAACACTTAACATATACAACTACTATAAGGATTATCTTAAAAAAATAAATAAATACGAGAGACAGAATAAATTATATTTTATATTTAGAACAAAATTAAATATCAAATTAGCTCTTATAGTAAGGATTAGAGGTAGTAGCTTATATTATTAGATTTCTAAACCATGAAAACTTATTTGCAAGTCATCTAAAACTTAAAATTGTCATGTTTATTTTATTATTAAAATTCACATTTTTCCAAGGATATTGTTTATACTTTATAGTTTATAAATAAATTTTTGTAATTTATAAATGTATTGTCTGTAGCTTTATTATTATTTTTATTTCCTCCATAGGCATTTTGCTATAAACAATTTGTCTGCCCAGCTAAAGTCTAAAGTGCTTTGGTGTGACTTATCGGAATTGGGGTACTTAAGTCCAAATACGTTT